AGAGGAGGAGGAGGAGGAGGATGAACAGGAAGAAGAGGAGGAAGAGTACCCCAGGCCCAAGTGGCAAGGGATCGAGGCAATTTTTGAAGCTTACCAGGAACACATAGAAGGTAGGGGATGGGAATAGGGGGTAAACCCCACTTTGTGCCTCAGTTTCCACTTGGGTGAAATCACCCCACGCCCATAGCAGGCAGCTCCAGCTCCTGCTGGGATAAGCTGGGAAGCACCGGTGGCTCCCAGCAGTGCAGGAGCAGCATGAAAACATGAGGCACTGTTGAAAATTGATGTATATGTGAAAAATTCATGTATTCACACTGCCCAGTGTCCTCCCAGCAGGACCTAGAGGCTCGCTGTGGGCAGTGTGAGCACCAGGGATGCTCTGGGATGCTGGAGGCATCCTCCGCGGTACCCTGGTCCTGTGCTGTGCGTGGAGCCAGAGGAATCAGCGCTCACCCCTTGTCCTTTGGGCTTTGCAGAACAAAACCTGGAGCGCCAAGTGCTGCAGACCCAGTGCCGGCGGCTGGAGGCCCAGCACTACAGCCTGAGCCTGACGGCAGAGCAGCTTTCGCACAGCATGGCGGTGAGTGGAGCTCCCATAGCACAGCGGTACCCTCCAGTGCCAGCATTCTGTGTCCGCATGCAGGCACCCAGCATCCACATACAGGCACCCAGCATCCCCATACAGGCACCCAGCATCCTCATAAAGGCACCCAGCATCCCCATACAGGCATCCAACATCCACATACAGCCACCCTGCGTCCCCATACAGGCACCCTACATCCACATACAGGCACCCAGCGTCCCCATGCAGGCACCCAGCATCCCCATACAGGTACCCAGCATCCTCATACAGGCACCCAGCATCCCCATAAAGGCACCCAGCATCCCCATGCAGGTACCCAGCATCCCCATGCAGGCACCCAGCATCCCCATACAGGCACCCAGCATCCCCATGCAGGCACGCAGCATCCCCATGCAGTCACCCAGCATCCTCATACAGGCACCCAGCATCCCGATGCAGGCACCCAGCATCCCCATACAGGCACCCAGCATCCCCATACAGGCACCCAGCATCCCCATGCAGGCACCCAGCATCCCCATACAGGGGCCCAGCATCCCCATGCAGGCACCCAGCATCCCCATACAGGGGCCCAGCATCCTCATACAGGCACCATGAATCCCCATACAGGCACCCTGCATCCCCATACGGGCACCCAGCATCCCCATACAGGCACCCAGCATCCCCATGCAGGCACCCAGCATCCTCATACAGGCACCCAGCATCCCCATGCAGGCACCCAGCATCCTCATACAGGCACCCCGCATCCCCATGCAGGCACCCAGCATCCTCATACAGGCACCCAGCATCCCCATGCAGGCACCCAGCATCCCCATACAGGCACCCAGCATCCCCATACAGGCACCCAGCATCCCCATGCAGGCACCCAGCATCCCCATACGGGCACCCAGCATCCCCATGCAGGCACCCAGCATCCTCATACAGGCACCCAGCATCCTCATACAGGCACCCAGCATCCCGATGCAGGCACCCAGCATCCCCATACAGGCACCCAGCATCCCCTTACAGGCACCCAGCATCCCCATGCAGGCACCCAGCATCCTCATACAGGCACCCAGCATCCTCATACAGGCACCCAGCATCCCCATGCAGGCACCCAGCATCCCCATACAGGCACCCAGCATCCCCATGCAGGCACCCAGCATCCCCATGCAGTCACCCAGCATCCTCATACAGGCACCCAGCATCCCCATGCAGGCACCCAGCATCCCCATGCAGGCACCCAGCATCCCCATACAGGCACCCATCATCCCCATACAGGCACCCAGCATCCCCATGCAGGTACCCAGCATCCCCATACAGGAGCCCAGCATCCTCATACAGGCACCCTGCATCCCCATACAGGCACCCAGCATCCCCATGCAGGTACCCAGCATCCCCATACAGGGGCCCAGCATCCTCATACAGGCACCCAGCATCCTCATACAGGCACCCAGCATCCCCATGCAGGCACCCAGCATCCTCATACAGGTACCCAGCATCCGCATACAGGCACCCCGCATCCCCATGGGGCAGCCAGGTGAGCCCAGCACCCCATGAATAATCCCATTCCCGTGCCTTCCTGCCCTGACTCCTTCTCCTTAATTCCTGCAGGAATTAAGGACCCAGAAGCAGAAGATGGTCTCGGAGCGCGAGCGCCTGCAAGCCGAGCTGGATCACCTGCGGAAGTGCCTTGCCTTGCCTGCAATGCAGTGGTCTAGGGGTTATTTCAAGGGGTATCCCAGGTGACGCTCCTTTGGGGATAAACCGAACATATAGTCTAGAAATAATAATCTATTTTATTACCTTGAATATTTAATATTTTTCACTGGGAGGTTTGAAGCTAAAAAAAAAAAAAGAAAAAATAAAAAAAAATAAAAAAAAAAGAACAATAATAAAAAAAAAAGAACTAAAATGGAGAATGTGCCATGCATGATGCAAAGGAGCACGGGGAGCCCACCCGATGCAGAGCAGATCCCATCCCATCCCTTGCCCTCTGCAAGAACCGGGCTCTCCTCTTGGGGGCCAGGGCTCTGCAGCCCCCCCCCCCTTTATTTTTCCACCCACCCCACACTTTATAGCGCTCATTTTTTGTTGTTTCCTTTTTCTAAATGACAATTCCAAGACTCCACCGACAACACTAAAGCCGGAGGAGCCCTGTGGGGCCGGGTGCGGAATGGCCCCCTCCCATTCCCCAGAGCCCCCCCTTTCCTGGGGCTTCCCATTGGAAATGCACTTGGCTATAAAACAATAAAGTCAATAAACTGGTTGAAGGTACCTTTTTGTTCCTGTTTGGTGGGGAATGGGGCACCGAGGTGGGGTTAAACCTTGTCCGAGCCATCACCCCCCCACCCCGAGTTTAGAAGCCGAGGAAAAAGGTGCTTCAGCCTCATACTGTGTATATATATTAAAGAAAAGTTTTGTATGTTTTTATTACTTTAATTATTGTTATAAAAAGCTTGCCTTTTTGTTTTTTTTTTTTTTAATGTTTTTGCCTTTTTTTTTTCCCTTTTTGCTTTTTTCCTTGCCCCTTTTTATTATCTTTCTATTTTGGCAAAAGGATTGAACCGCTTTTAGTGTTTGTACTGCTGCTGGTCAGGACAGAAAAGATGCTGAAGTGTTTTAAAAGCATTTAAAAAGCAGGCAAAACAAATCACCTTTTCCAGTGGGGGCAGGTTCTGTCCCTCTGGAATCTGAGCTGAGCCCTTCCAATGCCTTCTCCCACCTGATTTTGGGGATATTTTTACCTTTTTTTGTTAGCTTCTTTGTCTTTTTACCCATTTTCTTTGTTTCCTGGGTCTGTTTCTGGTCATAGCTCCATTGTGGGTATCACAGCTCCGGGTGCAGGCTCCATTTATCAAACCAATAACACAAATCAATTGCGCCAAGAGGATTGTTGGGGATAGGTGATACTGGGGTGTCTTTATCCCCCCCAGAACACCAAGACAATCAGTAGGCAGTTTGGCCATGGGGAGATGGGGTTTGCCCATAGGGGCTTATGGCTTGCCATGGTGTTGGTGGCACCACCAACCTCCTCAGGCTGGGGCAGCAGGTTCAGCCTTGTCACCATTTGCAGCCACTTGCTCATCATCGCATGCCCCAGCTCCCCAGGGAGGCTTTTTTTGTAAGATATAATAATAGTTATTTATTATTTTTCTCTTAATTCACCACGAGACAAGCTCACGTCTACGGGAAAAGGTGACCTCTGCTTTCTGCTTTAAATTCCCTTGTTGCACTCGCAAAGAAAGCATTAAAACACCCCCCGCTTTTATTCCCCTCTCCCTGCTCCCTGGTCTGCCATTGGCTTCACCAAATAAAAGAAAGCTGTGCGAGATTAAAAAGCAAAAAGCCCTTGTGACAGAAATTAGTTTAATCTTTCTTAAACCCCCGATTGCGTCGCCAGCCTCTGGCCTCGCTGCTGCCAACTCCGGGCTTCACAATGAATTTTAACACAGCAAAATAACGCTGCTGCTCGACTCGCTTCTTCCCTTTCCCCTGCGCTGTGATGGGGAGGAAGCCAGGGATGGGAAATCATCAGCGATTTATCCCTCTCCTCCACTGCGCTGCGGTGGAGGAGCCTGGCTGGGCTGTAGTATCACTTCACAGCAGCTCCTGTATTCGTAGCAGCTCCCATACTGAGGCTTTTCCCCCCCATTTACCAGCCCAAAAATCACGTTTTTTGGAGCAGTTCCTCAGTATTACTCCCCCAGGGCCATGGTGAGCGGTCGTGTTTGTACCTACCCTATGCAGAATTGATCTCAAGCAGATGTGCCAGAGCCCAGGAGGGCTGCGAGGAGGGAAAGGCAAGGCAGAGCCCGCTGGGGGCAGTTTAGATGCTGTGAAAGAAAACAAAAACCCAAAAAAGGAGGAAAAAAAAAAAAAAGAAACAACCCCTAAACATGTTTCTAAGTGTACTTGTTTGACTTAATTGTAATGTAATATATTATTTGTTGAATGTAGTAATTAGGTATTTATGAATATATTGCTGTAATTTCTGAAAACATCCAAAAGAAACAAAGAAAATAAACTCTTCCACAACAACGGCAAAAGGATTCTTTCTCCCTCGCTCACATACACACTACGGGGAAGCTCTGAGCATCCTCACCTTGTCATCATAGCCCTTTGCTGGCAGCCCTGGCTGCAGGCAGGGCACAGATGGCAGGCAGGAGCTGCCCAGATGCTCGGGGAAGGGCAGCGCTCGCCACCCTTTGGGTTGGAGCCGGCATTTCCCCTTCGTCCGGAATAATTACATCTGCCATCAACACAGCCCGACGCCAGGGAGGATCCTGCCCTTGCCTGTCGGTCTGCTGCAGGGGGAATGGGGCTGGAGCCAAAGGAGCAGAGACGTGGGTTTTTCCATGGTTTAACCCGTGGATGCTCTGTGTGCAGAATGATGCCATTCACGCGGGTGAAATCACTGGTTTTATTCCTTTTCTTTTCACACACACACACACAGTGTTTCAGGTTAAAACAACAAGTCAGATGTGACGTTACAAGACAGCCTGGTACGGAGAGGGGAAAACCCTTTTCTTTTGTCCTCCTCCAAAGAGCAGCTGGATCTGCTTCCCAGCTGATCTCCCCAGCAGACACCTCTCATTGCCCGCACATCAGTTTCCCTTTCCAAGGCTCTGAGAAAGATCCATGGCAAAGCAACGCCTGGAAATTTACTGCTTTCAAGCCAGTGTGTGGCCTGTGCTGCCCTCAGAAGTTCCCTCTATGAAGTACATCCACTCTTGAGGGCGCAGAGATCCGCCCGGCCCCATTAGGCAAGCAGCAGGGTAGCGTTGGCAAGCCACCACCTGCATTAAAGCAGATCTCTTCACCCCAAGAGGCCCACCTCTGAAGTGAGGAGCTCCCGTGCAGGGATGCTCCCGTTCCATCGGCAGCTCTGGAGCCATTCCCAGCTGGCTGGAAGGCTGCCTGCAAAGAGAGGGCTTAGGCTGCTGAGGAGGTGCTGTATGGAGATGGGTGGCTTTGGATGTGCATAGGGAGATGGAGGCTTGGCCAGATGAAGGACCAGGGGCAAGATGTGGAGCCTGCTCCCTTCCTCTGCCCTCTCCTGTAGGGTTTTGGGGCTGGCTTGGCTGGTACCTCAGAAATCCTGGGAATGGGCAGCCTCGCCAGGCTGAAGGTTAGTCCGGAGCTTGTACATGTGATCTAAGGCTTGTGTGAGGAAAGTACTGGTTGTGTTGATCTCCATCAAGGTTAAATTGTCCAGCTAGAAGAGAAGAATAGTGGTATCTGTGACAACAAGGGAGGATGAGGAACTAGAAAGCAGCTCCACAGCCCATGCTTTGCCTTTGGTTACTTGGGTTATTCCCAGCTGCCACCCCCCAACCCATCAAACACGAGCACACGAGGTACAAGAGCACCGTTTCCATACGGCACCGGGAGCTGCAACCAGCCCATAAAGCGAGGTTTCAGCATATGGCTTGAGCTCCCAACTGCCGTACCCACAGCCCAGGGAAAAGGAAAAACATGCCCCAACCAGCGTTTCCAGGAGCAGCTCTCATCAGTCACAAGCCCACACAATCGCACGGCATCTGGAACGCTCCCAAGCACCGCGCTTGGCAAAGCCTTCGCCGCGCGTCCCCGCCGCACCTTGGCATGAACCTCCTGCTGCCTGACGAAGCTGTCTGCAGACAGCCGCAGCTTGGCTATCCGGGTGTCCCAGGTATCCTTCACCAGCGTGCGGATCTCGTCGGCCTTGGGGATGTTGTCTGAGGCACTAAAGGAAGGGAGGGAAAGCATCAGAACAGGCGAGGGACTCGTATGTTATGTCACCAGTATAAGAAACGTTGGCAGCTCTTCAGCCCTCTAAGGCATAAGCAGAACAGTTTGCTATGGGGTGTGTGTGGGGGGGGGAACACACCACCCTGCAAGTCAACACTCAAATCCAGCCTGGTGCTTCTGCTGCTGGGATTTCTGGGATGGTTTATTTACCCGGGAATGCTCAGCTCTAACGCAGCATCTGGTTCTCGCTAAAATCCTTCTGCTCTTTAATTGCCCAGCTGGTACGAGGTGCAAGGAGGACCAATAACCCGGCCAAAGTCACCAGCAGCCAGGGAATTGGAAGGGCTCAGCTGTGATTAGAGCCCCAGCTCTGTGCTCTTGTGGCTCTATCAGAAAGTATTAAGTTGAAAGGGCTCTACGAGTTGTGCCACATCCTCCCACCGAGGCAATTCAGCGCCGCCATAAGGACCTTGAGAGATCAGCTCAATTCGCACGGGCAGAGCTGTCAGGGTTATTGTAGCGTGAGTGAAGGAGCTGCGTGCCAAGAGTGTCATCTCCAGAGGAAAAGCCAGTGCTTAAATGACCACCCTGCCATAATCGAGGGCTTAAAGTCAGAAGAGCCTGCGCTGAGCGAACACGAGCCAGCACATTTCACAAGTGAAATGCCTCAGCAGGCAGGAGTGCAGGCTCTGAACAGCCCTCGGTCTCCTGCTTCTGAGGCTGAGGAAAAGAGGAGCTTTCCTCCTGCAGGAGAGCCAAGCAAAGAAGCCTGTGGGCTTTAGGCTGCCGAACAGATTGCAGCCATGGAACGTGTTGCTGATCCTCAAGGCCTCTACGCTCAGCTGCCGCTCAATAGCGCGGCACAGCCCCAATTATCAGGCCAGGGAACAAGCAAATCCATGAGGCGCAAAGTTACCACGGGAGAGAACTGCTGCAGCGAGATCTTGGCACATCATGGAATGAAACCCCATTAACTCTCACTTCCCCATCGCCCTCCGGGGCTGCTGCCAACCAAAGCCTGTGCTGAGCGTGTGCTCGGGTGGAAACCGTGACAAGACGTTTCCCACTCACTAGTTCAACAGCAGCTTTGTGAGCTCCATGTAGTAGGGGCTGGGCATCCGAGTGAAGGTGTCCTCTTTGCGCTCCTGGTCCCGGATTTCCTCCAGTTTCCCTACCAATGCAAGCAGGAACGGTCAGGCACTGACACAGCTTCGACGCTCGTTTTTACCCCCATCAAGAAAACCCCATGTGCTGTTTCTGCAGGACTCCGAGGACAGGAAAAGGCTTCTGGAATGAAGCACACAGGGATGCTGACATGGATGTTGAAGCTGCGCGTAGCGCACACCATGCCGGAAGGCTGGATCTACCTCAGCCCCATCCCCAAGCCTGTCAGGAGGTGTTCCCCACAGCCACAAGGCACTGTCAGTAATGAGTGTTTCTGCCCCTGAATGAATACAGCAGGAGCACTTAATGCAAGTCTCCCTCTTTCTGCAGCTCCGTTGAGTGTTTACTTCTCCTGCTTCTCAGTTTCCCTTGGGACTACAAAAGGGAAGGTGTCATCATTCTCACTTTTAAGAGTGAGAACCTCCCATTTCCGATGAAGATCATTTCATGGAGTGAATGAGCTGGTGATTAACACACAAGCGTGCTCTCTTAGGTCTCCCTCCTCACACAGGGTCATCTGAGGTTCCCGAAGCTCTGTGAGATCTGTAAGTGCTGCTCAGAACACCCATTCACCACTGGGGAATGCAAGTGTCAGGGCTGGGGATTCAATCTGTTCTTCCTCCTCACCAGAGGAACAGAAGGTAAATACATGAGGGAAGATTAAATCTCCTGTCAATATAAAGAATTCCAGCAGTGGGAAATCAGATCCTCCCTCAGACTTACTTTGTGTTTGTGGAATTAAGCTTCCCACTGAAACAGGGGAAGTTCAGGTTGGATAGAAGAAAGTAGTTCTTCCCTGTGAGGGTGCTGAGGCGCTGGCACAGGGTGCCCAGAGAAGCTGGGGCTGCCCCATCCCTGGCAGTGATGGACGGGGCTTGGGGTAACCTGCTCTAGTGTGAGGCATCTCTGCCCATGGCAGGGGTTGGAACTGGGTGATCTTAAGGCCCTTTCCAACCCAAACCATCCCTTGATTCTATAATGGTGCAAAACAGAGATTCTCATTGAACTTCTTCTTTCCACTGCACCCACTGGAGCCCAGCCCCGACGCCCCATCCTTACCAACATCCATCCATTCCGGAGCAATCACCCGGCACTTCTGCCTCTGTTTCAGGTTGATGGCGAGCCAGACAGGCACTTCCACTGGCAAGCCGGGATTGAAAGGGCCCAGATCTCCCTGGAAGATGAACCAAAGACAACGGTTAAGGGCTCGCACACGGCAGAACTCACCTGATAACGTGGCCTTGGCCACAGCTACCCTCGACACACAGCCCCTGGGCTCAGGCTGAGCACCCAGTGCCAGAGCTCAGCACCCAAGGATGCCAGGGACCCTCCAGCCCTCAGCCAAGGCTCAGGGGATGCTGCCCCCCACCAGAGACATGGGCACAGCGCATCATCCCTCTCCTCCTCCCCTCTGCCCTTCATCCCAACCCTCAATCCCTCCAGCCCATCACAGCAGACCCCCAACCCCTCTCCCTGCTCCCAAGCACCCCAAACCCCGTCCCCAACCTCCTGCCCCTCAGTCCCAACCCCCCAAACCCTACCCCACACCTAATCCCTGTCCCTCAGTGCCCCAAACCCTGCCCCAAGCTCCCCCCCCCAAGTCCTGTCCTCAAGCCCCTCAGCCCCCAATCCCCCCCTCCCCAACCAGCCCCACGGCCCTGCCTCCAGCCCCACAGCCCCTGCCCGCGGCCCCACAGACCCCAATGAGATGGATCCGGTCAAGGCTGAAGTTGGGCACGATCGTCACCAGCTCCTTCTCGGCCAGGAACTCCACCTCGGCCGGCTCCATGGAGGCGGCAGCGGGGACGGCGATCGGGATCGGGATCGGGACCGGGATCGGGATCGGGATCGGGACCGGGACCGGGACCGGGACCGGGACCGGGACCGGGACCGGGATCGGGACCGAACCGGCGCTGGTACCAGGACCTGACCGCCTTACGCGCCCGCCCTCCCTATTGGCTACGCGCCGGTGAAACCCCGCCCACAAAACGCCGTTTCCCGCCTCCCGCCGCTTTTCGCGGTTTTAGCGTAGGGGCGGAGCCTGGCGGAGCTCGGAGCACGCTGATTGGTCTCTCCCAGGCGTCAGTTGGCCGGCGATTGGCTAACACAGAGACATCCCGGCGCGCCCCGGGTGGAGCTCGGCCAATCAGCGCTCAGCACTTGTTGCCAGAGCGCTGCGGGGCCTGCAGAGGCCCTGCCCTCATCCTCTGAGCGTGTGCGCGGCTCCCGCCACTGCCGCCCCCTGGCGGCCGGGAGGAGCAGCGCCCCGGGGGGACACGCGTGGGGCCGGTTACCGTGGGGTACGGGGAGGGGTGTCCTCCTGCGCACCCACCGGCCTCCATCAGACCCGGTGTCCCTGTGCAGACACCCTCCTGTCATCAGCCCACCCACCCCTCCATGCCCACCTCCGTGCACCCACCCCTCCATGCCTTCAGCCGTCCATCCATGCCTCCATTCCTTCCTCTCCCACCCACCCATCCATCCATCCTCTGTTCACTCACCCACACCTTAGAACAGCAATCAGCCCTCTTCTTGCTCTCTGTCCATGCACCACATTGCCCATCCCTCCCTTCCTCCACTCATCCTTCCCCCCATTCCTCCATGTAACCATTCCTCCATCCCTCCCTCCCTCCCTCCATTCAACCATCCATCCACACCCCTCTACCCCCCCCATTCATCCCTCCATCTCCCCCCCATCCCTTCACCCATTCCTCCCCCCATCCTTCCCTCCATCCATCCCCTCCTTCCTCCCTCCATCTGCCCTGCAGGTCGCCATGGAAACCGAACCCCCCCCCCCCCCTCCCCAAATGCTGCCAGCTCCCCCCCGTCCCCCTCCCCAGCTGCCTTAGGCTCAGCCTTAGGACACCCATGGGCCCAACCCCAGCCCTTGGGGTGAGGATCACCACGGGGGTACCCGCAGGCTGGGCTATGGGGCTAAATCTCGGTGCTGCCCCACACCGGGGGCTGCAGGAAGGGGTTTGGGGGGGGGGGGGGGGTGTCCCTCCGCCCCCCGTTAACGTAGCAGCCCCCGCGGCGCCGCAGCTCCACCGGGCGCGCTGTAACCGGCTCCACTCGCGTGTCTTTTGCCATCTGCTGCTGTCATTAAAGAACGAGATTTCCATCTGCTTTCACACTCCCTCCTCTCCCGGTGCCGCCGCTCCCCGGGAACCAGCGCCCCCGGCTCCCTCCCGGGATGCGGGACCACCGGGGCGGGATGCGGGCGATGTCCGAGCTCATTTGCAATCGGTTCCTTCGATCCACTTGGACAACGGAGTGGGGGAAGTATCCCTTTGTGCTGCCCGGCAGCATGGGGTGATGCTGACAAGGGGTGGTTTTGCGGGTGCGGAGCCTCGGGGGGGCTTTATTCACCAGGGTGGCCCCGCACGGTGCCATCCCCTTCCCTGTGCTTTTAGAAGAGACAAACCCCAGTCACCGGTGTCCAAACTCACCCATGCGATGGGAGCCCCGTGTGTCCCTAAGGAGCTGGCCCTGGACAACGTGCATCCCTGTGGAGCGGGGATTGTATCCCCAGGATGCTCATGGTCAGCACTGGCTGCACGATGGTGCCCCCCCGCCCCGCCGTGCCTCTCGGGCCAGCATGGTCCCCGTCGGTGTTGGTGGCGTGACGATGATGGAGGGCACATGCAAGTGCTTCTCTCCTGGAGATGCTGCTCCTGCCTCGTCGCTGTCATTCCCGCTGCTCACACACATCTTCAAGCCTGAAGGGGCAACCAAGGGGGAAAATCATGTGTAGGGGATGCTGTTCCCTCACCTCCCTCCCTATCTCCATGGCTCAACCCCCTTACGAGCCACTAGAGAACCCACCAAACCTCCTGGCTTTGGGGTGCCCCATAGAGGTGAATACAGCAGCCAGCCCCCACCCCGATCTCCTGCCCCTGGGTAAAGGATCACTTTAATCTGCCTTTTTAATCATGAGAAAAGCCCCGTGCGGTGCAGGCAGCGGCCGGGGAGGTTTCAGCTCTTCCCAAGCAGGAAAATGCCCGGAGGGGACAGACACTGATATTTTAAATCTCTTTTTAATTAAGGATAAAGGCCTGCCTTACATAAGGCAGCTGGAAAAGGGGGGTGTCTTGTCTCTTACTGCAGACTCCAAGCTCACCAGAGGGACCTGGAGGCACAGGGGGATGTTTTGAGGCTCTGCCCTGGATTTGGGGATTTGGACAGGGACTCCCTGGATGCCTCATTTTTCCCTCTTCAGTCACCTCATATTGGGCTGAGGGAGGGTCTGTGGGACCCCCAAATCCCTTAACCTCAAGTGGCAGCATCCTCAACGCAGGGAGAGTGTGAATGGGTGCAGAGCTCCTTTTTGGGCAGTGCATCCTACCACAGCCAGCATCACACATGGGGTTTGAGCTTGGGAAGAAGCAGCTCTGTTCCTTAGAGAGGGATGCTCATTAGCTCCCCTCCCTAACTACCCAAAGGATGATTAATACGAGAGGCTCAGGGGTCAGCACTGGGATGCAGCGCTAATGGGAGATACAATATCCAGCCTTTACCCTGCTCACCCAGTGCAGCGAGGCCGGGATCATTAAAAGCTCCCACTTCCCTCTCTCTGCAGACATCACTTCTGCCATCCCCAGCCTAACTCCATTAAGAGAATTAAAGTTAGGGGAAAAGCAGATGGGTAGAAAGCTCCTGGGGTGGAATATCCCTGGGGAGAGTGGAGCAATGAAGGATGCTCCAGGCTCGAGCATTGCATCCATACCCAGAGCATCCCATCCATGCTGCCTTTTTCCCACCTCTAGGGAAACCCATTGTGGGATGCCATCAGCCCAAGGATGCTCCAGGGTAGAAGATGCAGGATGGAGCACAGGACCAGGCCTTTATATTGTTACAGGGCTGGGATAGTGGACTGGGACATCGGGGTGATGCCTGAGCATCATGTCACTCATGGGACTCCTTAAATGCCACCAGCACACTAAAACACACCAGTCCTGCCCACTTAAAGCTCCTCCTTGCATAACCATCCCCAGATGCCTTCATGGAGCAGGAGTGACCCCAGCATCTTCCCAAACCTACCTTTGAGGCAGGATAACTTGAGCCCCATGTTTTCATCCTCTCAGCAGGACCCAGCTCTCCAGCCCCACCGCTGGTCCTCGCTGCTGGAGCTGCAAGAGAGATACAGGAAGTGATGCTGGGAGGAAGGAGTGAACTGGGTTGCTCACTGAAAGCATGCACCTCTGTGTGTGTGTGCATATGTATATGTATACATCTATAGGTGCCTGGGTAGAACAGGAAGCATGAGTGCACGGCAGCAAAACCACCCGTGATGTCACAGCAACTCAGTGAGTCAATCTCAGCCACTGAGTTTTGGGAGGAACTTTTTGGTCCTATCCTGGCTTCTCTGCTCCTGGGATCAATGCTGCAAACATCTGCAGGTGAGAAGGTGGTGAATGAAGGAATCAGGCTGTTATTTGTGAAGGTAACTGGCGCAGAGGATGCTGGTCTGTGGCATTGCATCCCCTGGGGACGAGCCAGAGCAATGGGCACCAATTGGGGATGCACTGACAATGAGAGCTCCATCCTGCTCTATTTGGACATCACTGATGCTCCAAGAGCTTTCAAGTGGGTAATTCCCATTGTGGGACATCATGAAAGTGATGTTGAAACCCATTCTGAGCAAAACCACCTTTAATGGGAAATCTTCATCCTCCTGCACGCAGCTGCTGGGAAAAGCTCCTTGGGATGAGGGTCAGCCACTCATTTCGGTTCTTCCAAGCCCTGTGGCCCGCATAGAGCCAAGCAAACCCTCTGCTCCCCCTGCCCAACCTACACCACAGCTTCACTTCACCTTTCCAAGCAGCCTGAGGTTGCCCAGCCACAGCCAGCAAGAGGAAGTGGGAGCTTACCATTGCTGGGCTTAATTCTGCTTCCTTTATCAGCTCCCCACAATCACACTGAGCCTTGGCACCCCTTTGGCCAAGGAGCTGCCTCAGGGCTGGGAGTAGACCCCCACCGTGGGCCTCCCACTTTGCAACTATAGCCCAAGCATCAATAAAACTGTTTTGAGGTGAATTCTCCAGTTTTCGGCACTACCAAAACCAGCCATCCCCATCCGCTCAGGGTTGGAGGAGGGTTGTGCTGGGGAGACCCAGCCCCATGGCACAAGAGGTCTCCTCTTGGACCAGACCCCATAGCTAAGCCCTTGCATGACAAAGCAGCCCCTTCCCCATGCCACTGGCTCTTAGCCCTGCATCCGCACCACGGCACTGAGAGAGATGCTTAGATAGAGAAACCCACCCCGCCAGCATTCCAGCAGGATTGCTGGTGGCTGATGGCTTCAGCGTCGCTCCCGTGTCGGCATCAGGCCAAGGAGTATTTGCTTTCCCGATGAGTTCACGCTCCAAAAACCCCCAGACACTCATCACAAGCATCACTGAGCGGTGGCCGCGCTGCTCAGGCATGGATGCGGGATGCTCACCCAACATGTGGGGTTGGGGATGCACGGGGAAGAGGAGTGGGACCATAACCAGCCATTGTGCTCCGAGGGGATGACACTTACCCGGTCCTGGGAGCTGGAAGCACGATGCCCACCGTTGCATCCCACCTCCCACAGCATCCAGCTGCTCTGGGATGCAGGAGTGTGAGGCTGGGTGGGGGGTTCCCACTCAGGACCAGTGAGGCAGGAGCAGGTTGCAGTGAGACAGCTTGGGGTAAGGTTGGTTTCTAACCTGGTTAATCAGGTTAGCAGAGCCCCGGCTCCTCCCATCCATCCCCTGCTCCAGCCCCATCCAAGCCCAGCAAAGCCCTTGGGTGATGAGGAAACGCTGCTTTACTCTCACCCCACTGCACAAACCAGCCTGGTGCCAAGAAAAGGAGGAGCAGGAGTGCCTCTTCCCTGCAACTGAACTGCCTGGACCACTGAGCATCCCTACAAACAGTCAGAGGGGCAACTAAGTGCTTAGAAAGGCAAGTGCCAGTTTGGTGCGAGGGTGCCCAGCTCTGGCATCCCTGAGATCCTAATGTCAAGAGAGGAGCGATGCTGCAGCCTCCAGGAGCATCCCCACCTCCTCCAGCTTCCAGAAAGTGCCTGTCCCCCTTCCTGTCCAACCTTCCATCCCCAGCCAGCCCAGCAGTGGAACCAGCAT